TATATATATATATATATATATATATATAAAATTTAAAAAACGGTGTATATTGAATATAAACATGGCCCTATTAAAATGGTAGTGCTTATTGCTCTTTAAAATGTTTGTGTAAACAGATGTAGACAGACAAGTCCATATGCTTTTAAACATTTTTATTCAATTCAATAAACAAATATTAATGCAAAGGTACAAAGACTTAAGCTTCCACACAGAAAAATACAGTAAGGACAATGGAATTTAAGCTTGATAACATTTTGTTTTAAATAAGTAGCACACTTACAAAGCCCACAATGTTTTATACTCTTTTTTTATTTATTTTTGTTTTCTAATTTCATAGAAAACATGTAGTAACAGGAGCATTTTCCTTTTGTTTTAAAGGGTCAGATAAACCAAACCACAGAGCTGCAAAGCTATATTCCTGAAAGCTAGGTTTGCATATTTGGTGAATGTAGTTTCGTCTTGTTGCAAAAAGTTGGATTAAAGTCAGGACTTTTCAGTCAAATGTATGTGCAACATCTGAATTATCATACATTGAAAAAATAGAAATTAGCTGCCTTTGTATAGATATGAACCACCGAGACAGTTCACATTCATTAAATGCACATACTGTAAGAGTATTTTAAAGTTTTGTCATGTATATGTTTCAGTTCCACTGGGTTGCATTATCATCTCTTTAGCACAATAACAAGGTTGTTTGTTTTTGTTTTGTTTTTTTTTTGTACATAAAGAAAAAAAAAGATACAAAACCACTTGGTCAGAAATAATATTTCCAGTTGCAAAAGTCTTAGTAATGCACTAGCAAAGAGTTCAGATATACTCAGAGCTTAATAACTGCAAAAAAGCAGGACATCACATCGAGACTAGCAGGTATTTTAATATTCAGTACCATGCAGCAAATGTTCACCCAATATAAAGCAGGTTTTCAGTGTTAAAGGCTGAAGACGTTCAGAGTCTCACATAAACGGTTGGCCCTGGGAGAGATTATACAACTGCTTCACTTTTAAATAGTTTTGTCCTCAAATACTGAAGTAGAAAAGACACTAGGGAGAGTCTAGCCATTGTGGCAAACTATCAGTTACCCGAGAGTGTCTTGAAAACATAACAGTAGCAAACCTCGATTTTTAAAAGATACAAACAACAAACTTTGGCTTTTTTTTTTCAATGGCTTGTCAATTATAAAGGATGCATACAGTCATGACAGACTTTTTGCACTATTTTTTTCTTGGCCCATTGATCTGGGCATTTTGTGTGGAAGCTTATTCCACCACGGGGGTAAAGAAAATTTAAATACTTCTAATTCTGAACTTTTTCCTCAAAACTGTTAATTCATTTCACACAAAATTAAGTTTATATGTCATAATACTCAAAATTGCGAGACTAAATAAGTT